ATGGGATACTCAGTTTTTTTTGGGAGTTATTAGGAGCAGAAGAGGAAGCGCCAGGATTGATACAGAGAGAAGATTTATTCTTGTTCTTGGGCTTGAAAGAGAGAGGAATGCGATGCTTCTCTTTTTCAAGAAAAAGGTCCAATTCATCATCCACCAACAACTTTCCATTGACTTTCATCTTCATATATCCGATTTTAACTGGTATACCCTCATCTTTCAGTCTATTGGCAAATAAACGAATGTTTCTGGCCATATTTTCTTCGTACGGTATAAGATCGTGATTTATAAATACTTTGGAACCTCCTTGTATCGTTTTGCCAGTTTGGTTTTGCTTGACATAATCAGCTGTTTGTTGTCCCAGGTGTCGATTTCAGCCTTGATTGTTTTCCTCTGTTTACCTACAATTGAGGCACTAATAACACAGTTCTGTACGCTAAGTGAGTCAACAAGAAATCTTTCTGTTGTTGTTTTCGGATTAACGTCAGCGCAGGGGAGACCTTGAATGATAATATTATTTCGTCTGCACTTTTTGTCAAGTTCGTGCATGCATAGGTTAACGACCTTAGATTTCATCCTCCGACAATTCTCTTTAATGGTCTGAATAGAGGACTCGCAACCACCGACACCCTCCAATGCACTTGCCCCCTGAAGAAATTTACCCTCTTGTATTTTCTGTTTGACTGCATTTAGTTCAGTTTTCAGTTTACTGATACGAGCATCTGCTTCTCGTTTATTTTGAGTGATCATGTCTCGAAGTTCGTTTTGACGTTGAGTGGCTGACGCCCAATCCTTCTGACGCCAAATACACATCTGTTTGAAAAGATCTTGAACAGATTCGGGTACCTTATCATCAGAACTAGCCATGTTTACGAGGGGGGGAGACAAATTTGGTGAACTTAGAATTGTTTTTTTGGCTGGTGGCGAGAGTGCATCAGTGTTTAGATCATCAACAAGCTCACTCTTGCGCTTCTTGTCGAACGTAGCGAAGACGCTCGATGAAACACGCAGAATAGGAGGACGTAAGGGTGCTACCACAATGGCTACGAAGTTTGCGAAGCGCGAAGCAATACTGCGCGGAGTGTTGCGTACGTCAAAACAACATACGAGCACTCAGATGCGGCGATTCAACTGCGTTTGATGGATTTGACGCAATCCAAACTGACAGAATAGTTAAAATTCATTGGGTTTCAGGTTATAAAAATGGATCCTAACGAATTATTAATATTAACTTACGGATACACAACTCTCAATTTCTTTTTCTTTGTGATATATTATCTTTATTTCCGAAAGAAAAATACTAAGAGATGGTGGGTTCATCCCATCAATCGAAAGAGGAATCACCTAGGGTTTTTTTCAAACCTCTTCCTGGAGCTCAAAACCACCGATTATGAACGATTCTTTGAATTGTAATTGTTTTACCAACACGAAAACCAATGAGTCAAGAATGGTTACAGTGAGGGGCAGTGAGGAGAGCAACATCTAACACCAGCTGAAGAAGCTGAGCGAGAGATGAGAGTGACATCAAACGGCGGTTGAAGTGAACCACGCGTGAGGTGAATAGACCAATCAAATAATGACAAGAGGCGTGGTTTGGGTGAAACCATGCTTCTGAACATTATAGAGAGGCTGTCGATACCCTGTCGCCTTATCTAGAAACTCGCCCAGCTGTGTTTGGGGGAAACGGGCCAACGTACTGGTGTTCCAACTGGGCGATTCTAGAGGCGCTATCGACTTAGACTAGGGACCAACGGCTAGGTGAGAGGACTAGTGCCCCCTCGATTGCCGTCGAGCTGATTGGTGGTGGTGGAGTAACGGATGACCCACCGCCGCTGAGATGTTCAGACTAGGGGGAGAAGGCCCTAGTAGATTTCGAGACAGTCGGTGACAGGCACTGGAGTTGAGCGGATGAAAATCGTTGCGTCCTCGACGACGGTTGTAAGTGGCATTAGTCCATTATGGATTATGGGGGTCCGTTGTGAGGACAAGATCCGGAACAGCGAGAGAATGGGACGCTTCCGCGTTCCAAACAGAAGGATCGGATTACTTTGAGGACGTGGAGTGTTTTAATTCCATGTCCTCAGGGATCCATCACTTCGGACGAAAGAAGTGGTGTTGGCGTGGATCCGTGGGCCGGGAGTTAGGCCGACTCCTGGAGGCCCGATCGCACGTACCTCCACGACGAGTA